TTATTTCATTTGAAATGGAGCAGTGAGTAGAGTTTTTATTGTAAAGTTGGCAAGAAACATGAACTATTGTCTTCTAAATTCACTTAAGACTTAGAGGGAAAATGACAGATTTATTGTGCTTGTCATAAAGACTCCTTTATGATTTTATAAAAAATAAAGCAAGCCTTTGTTCCTGCAAACAATTCAGTCACAAGTAAAAAGGAAAGCCAACAAATTAACTGCACTCACAAAATGCTGCCTTTTGCTTTTCTGATAAAGGATCTGGGAGGGTTCATCAATCAGATGGTGACAGGGAAGAGTGGTGCAGTGATGGTAAAGCCAGTGTTAAGTCAGACAGGATGGGTTTGGGTCCCTGCTGTGCCTTGTATTAGCTCTGGATCTTTGGGCAGGTTACCCAGCTGAGCCATACTTTCCTCTCTGTAAAATGGGGATAGATGTCACAGGGCTGCTTTGAGGATTAAATAAGAAAACACATAAAGTTGCATAGTGTCATGCCTGGTACAAAGTAGATACAAATCTCTATAACAAAAGCTCAAGAGAAAATGCCAATATCAAAAGGACTTTACTGACAACTGCACATGACAATGACAACCAGGGTTCTCCGACCTGAAAGGCAGGTGGTCTGTGCTGAAAGGTACAAGCTCTAGTTTCTGATTGGCTGAGGTGAGGAAGCATCGGGATGCAGCTTCCACTCCTAGACTGCATTCTTCTGCTAGCTCATTCCACTTTATACGCTATAATACATCACTCCACGTTAGAGCAATAACATCAATAAAAGCAATGCCTGATGATAATGTGCTGTGAATGTTTCATCAGGAACTTAAGAAAATTAGTCTGAAACTGCTCACCACGTCCAAACTGAGAGGGACTCATTTGTCAGTCATTTAGGTATGAAGAGTGAGCTGCGAAGGCTCTGATAGTATGCTCGTGGAGATGGAGGCCTGCTTCTTCATACTCAGAGTTTTCACGAGGTCAAGAAAACAGAGAGGACTTTGTGTAAAGACAGTGAGAAAAATCAACAAACCCTGGTAGTGCCTTGGTTTCACCAACAGTACCTGTGTGTGTCTGAGAAGAGGGTCCTTGGATTTCCTACTTAAGTGGTACAATTATAGTTGGCATTAGATTTTTTTTTTTTTTTTTTTTTTTTTTTTTTTTTTTT